TTTTTTTTTTTTTTTTTTTTTTGAGTCTGTTTCTTTACAAAAAACATCACTGGGTCCTCAGCTGAAAATTTATTCTACTGATAAGGAGAGTAATGGCAGTGCTCCCTCAGGCTATGGAGCTACGACTGATGATGTACAGTTGGATGGATAGAAGGCCAGCGTTGGAGTCAGAATCTCTTAGGTCAAATTGTATCTTTGCTACTCATAGCCATCTGACATTTGGGAAGCTGATCTCTCTGAGCCTCTGGTCTCTTCATTTTTAGAAACGGCAACAGCCACAGCTAATAATATTTATCAAATGGGAACTGTGTGTGTACTCTTAAGCCAGTGTTATTCTAAGTAAGCGCTTTGTATTTCTTTTTTTTTTTTTTTTTAAATTTTTTTTTCAACGTTTATTTATTTTTGGGACAGAGAGAGACAGAGCATGAACGGGGGAGGGGCAGAGAGAGAGGGAGACACAGAATCGGAAACAGGCTCCAGGCTCTGAGCCATCAGCCCAGAGCCCGACGCGGGGCTCGAACTCGCGGACCGCGAGATCGTGACCTGGCTGAAGTCGGACGCTTAACCGACTGCGCCACCCAGGCGCCCCAAGCGCTTTGTATTTCTTAACTCCCAAGCATACTGTTATTATGCCCTGTGTACACATGAGAAAGCTGAGGCACAGAAAGGTGAAGTAACTTGCTCAAGGCCACACAGCTAAGCGACGGCAGCACTGGGATTCTCCAGGTGGTCTCCAGGCTGGAGCCTGGGCTTTAACCATAACAGAAATGCTCCCACAGGGCCGGCAGGCAGGCTATGTGAGATCAAAGGAATAAAATGCTTACCGGGCCATCCGACACAGAGCAAGCACTCAATAAATTATAACTATTAGGTACCATTTAGAAATTAATTTCTTTGGTTAGGCAGACACGCCAGGGTTACTATAGTATGAACGTGTCTAATGAGAAGCTGCTGCCTATGGTGGCACTAGTCCCTGACAGGTGTTCTTTCGCACCTGCCTTCGGCTGGCACTCTGGGCAGGCGATTTTGGTGCTCTGCCCTGGAATCTCCATATTGGCCTCTCACACGGGGCGCCCACAAAAGGAACCCAACTCGGGGCAGCTAGGATGGGCACAGGTCTGACGTCCGCCTGGCAAGAAGGATGGCAGACTCTGGAATGAGTTGGACAGACCAAATCCCCAAGGCGATGGCCTCGTGCTGGTTGACTCACTGCTTTAGAAATTCTCTGTAGTTGGCTAATTGCACAGAGTCAGGGGGGAGAACTCCTTGCCTAGAAGAGGCAGCACGAGTCAAAAAATGGGCAAAATTAAAGACCTGGTGTGGACGAAGAGCCAACCGGTGGCTGAATAAGCAGCCAGCCACCACTCTCTTCCTCCTTGTTCAGCTCTTCCCGGTTCTGTTCAGGTACTTGGAAGAGGCACGCAGTGGCCACGGCAACCCTACTGTCTCTGTCAGGGACTGGTGTAGGGAGGACCCCTGGCCCCATCTGGCCAACCAGGGGAAGTCTCCTGGCGACTTCCGGGGAAATTCTGCTCCCTGATAGAAGATAAGAGAGTTGCGGAAAGGACTTCCTTTTCCGATTGGGCATTCTTCCTGCTGGAAATTCTGGTGTGCTAAGGTGAAGTCTGCGGCAGAAAAGAGCATCTCAAGAGATGCTAATCCAATGTCCTGACACGCTGGGGCGGTCGGACGCATGCTTATGGATGCATCTGACAACACCAGGTGCTGGGGAGGCCGTGGGGAGACAGAACCCCCTGAGCATTGCACTGGTGGATGTGTAAACTGGTATAGTCATTCTGGAAAACAACCTGGCAGTACTTGTGAAATTAAATATGAGTATGCCCGATGACTCATCCATCCCAGCCCTGGGTCTGTACCAAAGAAACTCTCCCACACTCCCCATGGGCACAGGTGCGAGGTGTCATTGCAGACTTGGCTGGGCTGCCCTAGTGTCCATTTGCAGGGACAAGAGAAGTGAACAGGGCAGGATCTGCAGCGACGGAAGGGCAGACGCAGCCCTCTTATGAGCTAAGTGTAAACCGTGCACCAAGACTGGACCTCAAAAAGAGAGCATTGAGTGAAAAAAAGACAAGAAGGAGATCCGTAAGAGAACCCCATGCGTCTAAGTTAAAAGACACCCAATCACAGCCCTACAGTAAGTCCACATGTGCGGCACACGGCAAATACCGGAGTGGGTGCCTATGAGGAGTGAAGGGAACACAGCAGGAAAGAACGCAACAAGAAGGAGAGGGGTCCTTCAGAGGCCAGAGGTAATGTGCCTTGAATGGAGGAAGCTTCCATAACAATTCAAAAGAAAAATATGCCACTGGATTTGGAGTCATTCCCATGACTGATTCCTACTGGCTGTGGGCCCCTCGGCAGGTAACTTACAGCCTCAGTTTCCCCACTGCGAAAGCAGATGTGAAGAACTGCCCTACGGAGAAGTGGGTGCAGAGCCTGAATCTGGAATGTAGCAACAGGATGGCAACTAAGGACTCAGCTTTCTTGTCTGTAAAATGGGGATTACTACATTACCCATCTGGTACCGTTATGATGGGGTTTAAATGAGATGTGACACGGGCAGGACAAAAAGCACAACAACGACACTGTTTGGCACATTTGGGAGGCAGGGAGCACATCCTTCCGGGAGCTCGGGCTCGTACCAGGCGCTGTGCCGGGGGCTCGGCAGCACACCCCACCCTCACTGGGTGCAGCACCCGGGGGCATGAGACCTAAAAGCAGCCCCCGCCCCTTGCCGCAAGGTGCCCATGATGTTCTGGGCACCATCCTGAGAGAGAGGGCACTTCAGGCTGCCTTTACGTGCCCCCATCTTGGGCACCTGGGGCCCTACAAATCCACTTGTAGATTTCTTTTTTCTTTTCTTTTGTGCCACAGATCAGTTTTTAACTGGCTAAGGCAGGTTACCAGAAAGAGAAGAGACGAGAAGAAGAAACTGTCATAACTCCCCTGCTCTG